GTTTTTATTGCACATTAAACCTCCCACCATTCACAGCCTCCAGAAGGAAGAGAAATTGTATGGATGGCTCCTGGAAGCAGAGTAGCAGCAGCACATTTAGGTGACATGAAAGCCATCAGTCTTTTGCTTTATACGGTGTTTATAACAGAGCCATTCTGCTCCAATTCTGCTCATGCCATCATTCTTTATAGGAGTGATAGGTGTCCCCTAGCGCGCTCTCTCTCTCTCTCTCTCTCTCTCTCTCTCTCTCTGCAATATGTCCCTGAAACTGATATTAGGACTTCCTGGTATTGGCCACTGTTGCCACGGAAAAGTCTTATGGATGACATTCAAGGGTATTTGTGGGAACAGCTGCATTGTACAATTGGTGAATTGTGTGCAAACTCCGAATCATCTTGGATCTTGATTTTAAAGGGTTCTTCCCGATAGTCCGATAGTTAACCGAATAGATGGTATTGCAAACCACTTGTTATTGCAACTGGTATATAACTTTTGTTAATTAAATAAAAACAGAGACCAATGTCGACGATAATATCAGTCTCACAGATGTGCATCCCTGTGAATGGTCTTCTGAGACACGCAAAGAATGGCTAACAACTTCAATCGGTTTCTGGCTGGAGGAACTGGGAAAATAAATTTTGGTAGAGGGCCTGGGAGAAAGGTTGTACAGAAAGGAGTTACAGTCCAGAGGTCCAAGCAAACTAAGCCATGCTGAGAAATGCTGGGGGGGAAATGAATATACCCAGCTCTGACTTCTGGACTAAGGACCTGGTGTGTGTCTGTGTGTGTGTGTGTGTGTGTCTGTGTGTGTGTTTAACAAATTACAATATTGCATAACTACTGAGCTGCACTCATAACCTGGCTTAATAAGCCTTTCAATCCATTAGAAACAGCAAGCATATATGTTTTGTTTTCAAAAAGAAAGCATATCAATGTGAGTTTTCTTTCCCCACTTCCGTGCTTTCTTAACAGTCCTGTGGGCACAGTCCACATTTGCTCACTACCGCACTGAGAGCACGTATACACACACACACACACACACACACACACACCCTTTGGGTACCCAAAGCACTCTTGAAACTCTCCAGCCTGCCTGTCTCGTTAGCAGGGAAAGCACCCAATATGTATTTTGTGTGGATAACCTAAGGTTAGAGAATTGTCCAGTAAGCATCCCCTTGGGTTGCCCCCTGCCTTGTAAAACACTGTGAGCAGGAGCGGGGGTGGGGGGGGAGGCACAAAGAGGTGGGTGGAGAGCTGTTCACTTGGACACTGTTCCTCTAGGAATCACTTCCCTTGGAGTCACGATTAAGCTCATCTGTTCCTTGTCCTACCTGTATACCAGGCAATTTTCTTATTTGTGACGGTGGGAGGGAAGCGACAGTAGCATTGGAAATAACTTCAGATGCAACTGTAGACAGACAAACACCTAAACATTTATTCGGCATTTACCTCAGATGCTAGCTATCTAGTTGTCTACCCTACCCACTTGGAATATAACCCTTTGAAACCCCAAAAGCTAGCACCTAAATTCAGCAATGTCACCAGATCATTTTAGATTCTGGATCTTACAAGGGAGGGACTCTTTAGATCAGGGCAGGAAACCTTTTTCAGCCTCAGGGCTGCCTCATTTCCTCTTGGGTAGCCTTGCGGGTACTGAATACCAGTGGTAGGCAAAAGTGGGTATCCTGTACCCATGGTACCTCTTGCATTTGCCGCCTAGTGATGATTGCTTCATACATGGCATCTGCTGTGTGGCATCTGCTGATTTAGGACATTGTCACATTTTCCTAGAAGAGGTCAGAGAGTAATGGCCACCATTTTGTGATCAGGTGCTGCGAGTCTCTGAGGAGGCAACAGCTAGGCCTTGCCCTCTGGAGCTCTGAGGCAGCTTTGTCCTTTGACTTTGCTTGGACTCAACATTTGAAGCAAGATATTCCCTTCCTTTCTTCTTCCTCCTTCAACCCAGTCCTCCCCCTACCACGGCTGAAAACAGAAGCTTGATACTGTGACAAGATGGCCTCCATCTCTTCCTTTATGACACTCTAACTAGTTTAGCTCTCTGTGGAGCCACACAAATGGGCACAGAAGAGTGGGGCTGGCCAAGCACACAGTAGTCTGCATACTCCATTCAGGAAAGCAAGATGTATTGTCACAGTTCAAGGACACACACAAAATCACCAGGAAGGAGGTGCAGAGCAGAACCAGTGAGTCAGACAGCCTGATAGGTGTGAGCTGGTCAGATAGATAAGCCTCAATACCTTCCAGAATATATAGGAAGCAAAAGTTGTATCAACACACCTGGATCCAAATTCAATATTTTAAAATGTTGTTGTTTTTTAATGTCGGTCAGTTAACCAATCAAGCAACCAATCAGTGAATATATATATATATATACACATACACACACACACATATATATATATCAGGACTTGCATGTTTCCTCATTCCTGCTTTAACCTATACAGATATGAGTAATTTCTTTTAAAAAAGGGAAATATTCCTGTGAGAAATGCCCAGAGCGGTTTGGCACTCAATTTTTCTTCTTGGGAACTCTGGGAATTGTCATTCTGTGAGGGGAAAAGGGGTGTCCTAACAAGTCTCAGCAGCTCCCATTATTCTTTGAGGGAAGCCATGACTGTTGGAAGTGATACGATACTATTTTAAATGTATAGAGCAGGTGGGACCTAACAGGTTAAACTAGAGCGAGAAAATGAGAAATAAAAACTTTGAAACTACTTGAGAAAGCAAGGGGGCTGTAAAATGGCAACTGAAGAGGGAAATGGTGAGGCAAATTACAAACCGTTTACAATAAATTACATCCTGATTATGATCAATTCTCTATGCTACAATTACATTTGGCCTATTTGTACCTAGCAAGTACATTTAAGTATGGTAACATATTGATAGCACAATATGCCAGAGCACCCCAAATTAATGGTATTACCTTAAACAACCTTCTTTAAATAAGCCACTTGAAAAAAAATTACACCAGTTTATGGTGAAAACATGAACTTTGTGTCAAGTGACAGAAATAATTGCATTTTGGAAGAAGATACCCATTTAAGAAACAGAACATTAAAGTCACCAAAGGAGCAAATAGTACATAACATTTGTTGGGTGTTTTTATATATATAAAAAACAAACTTATTTGATCAGTTCTGCTGAAACTCTTGTAAGTTTTCCATAAACTCACAGATCCTAGGAATTGATGTCATATGCTGAAGAAACTACTGAGGGAAAACATTTCCCCTTGTTGATGTAATCCTCACCTCAGATGGAGCAGGTATTATCCAGAGAAGGGCATCAGCCAATGACCTGAGCATGTGATACGGACAAATTGGTATGGAAGCAGTTGCTTTTTCATGGTTCCTCTTACAGTTTTGTTACTCTTGTTCTGGAAATATTGTTTTCCACTTAGGGATGACTGAATGTATCCATTTTGGTTTCTCTCATTTCTCATTTTTACAGTCTTAAAGTCAGTTCTCCACATTTCCAAATCAGCCTGTATTTATTTTATTTTTTAGAGTCTTTGTGAAAATTGGTCAGCATTGAAATGCAAATTTATCTTAATTTGCACAGGTTTATATGCAGTTTTACTTAATATACACATTTCTGCAAAGCATTTCCCCCTAACATAATGTATTTTTGTATGCTACTTTCATTATTACATGCATTTTTACGCACCCTTTAACCTAGTATACACATTTCCCCCACACATTACATGGCTAGAGAACAGCATTGCAAAATTCAGAGAAGGACGACTGTTGTAGGATGGCTGTGTTTTGGATCATGTATTGTTCCAGAAAGTGCAAATTAGGTGGGTTCTCCTTTAAATGTGAACTGAATTTAATTTATTCTCCTTTTTTAACCCGTATGCAAATTGAACAAATAGATTGCTCAACTGCAGTTCATCTGATTAATCAATGGGGGAAAAAATAAGAAGAAGCAGCCCTAACAACTATAACAAACTTTCTGAGAAGCCTATGCTTTAAAAGAAGGGAGCAAACATTAGAAGTGTGCTAAATGAAAATCCTGGAGCAAAATGTTATTCCATTGCATGTCGGCTGCTCCACTGAAAAACCATCTTTGTCAGCTTTCATCAGAATGAAAATAAATGACCATTTTCTTCCCCATGTCTAAACAAAAGACCTGGGGGAGTGGGGAAAACCTGTGCTCCTCATAAGTAACTCCAACAAAAGAAAGCCTGCAGATTGACAAATGACTTTCAGATCCCTACATCAAGTATAATTTGGCACTAAGTACTAACATTTGAAAACCTGGATTCCTTGCAGTAGTTGGTCTGTACAACAACAGACCCTTGGCAGGTTTGAAAAACTGCAGCGACCTTTAATTTAGAGAAATTATTACCAGTAAGAGAAAGCAGGTTGGTCATGTGCACGCCTCAAACTAAAGAGAGGGAAAAGAAAGAAAGAAAATAGAACCCAAAGTACATATTCTCCAGACCTGGCTCTGCTCTGAAGTTGATTTGTACCTCTCTAGCAGCTGTTCAAATAAGTAACTGCCCAGAGGAAACATGTATAATGCCTCAATAGTTTAATTTCTCGCTGCGCCTCTCCAAAGTCCAAATGCAGACTCTTAGTAGAATGAACAAATAATGGATCGTTTACATGATGATTGGGGAACAATCCTTAGACTCTGAAGATCAGCAGAGTGAGGACATGGCAAAATTATTTGCAAATGGTTCTACGGTTTGTGATTTGTAAGGATTTGCAGTCCTTATATTTCACTAGATGCTGTAGAGAGGCGTCAGATCACTGGCAGAATGTGTCTGCAGAATGTGCAATGAAAATGCATTACCTCTTCATGGCTGCATATGTAGCCCCATGAGTTCCATGATGGAAGAAGGATCAGATATAAATGAACTAACTAATGGGGAGGAAGCAAGAGTAAGACAAAAAAGAGAAAATGTGCAGAGTTCAGATTTGCTCAGGGAATCTTGGGCTTCCATCCTATGTACTAACTTTATTGGGATTAAGCCAGGGTGGTGTAGTGGTTAGAGTGTTGGACTAAGACCCCGGAGACTAGGGTTCAAATCCCTACAGAGCCACAAAGCTCACTGGGAGACCTTAGGCCAATTACTCACTCTCAGCCTGTCCTACCTTACAAGGTGGTTGTAAAGATAAACTGGAGATGGGCAGAACTATGTATGCCACCTTGAGCTCCATGGAAGAAAGGCAGAATATAAATTAAATTAAATTAATTAAATTATGATATCCACCATGGTGTTTTGGGCTCTAACAGTCTTCGATGTCTTTCCCAGACTTTATATAACAACCTTCTAATTACAATACGTGGTTTAAAAATTCTTTGTGTACAGCTACTTTGTGGTATACTAAATAGGCATGCCAGCCGAATCTATTATTCCATCCCTCCAGATCCAAAACATTGGTGTTTTCTAGCATGATCCATTCTGTGATCCAACACAAACATGCAGCTTCGTAATAAGTTCTCAAATCAGGGAGCCCAAACCCACCTCTTTCTTTCTTATCTGTTAACAGTTTGTATTTGATACATGGCTTTTTGCCTTGCCATATAAATTTCGTCAAGTCTGATTTCCATTTGTTGAAACATTCTAGTTTGCCTATTATGGGAATCATTTGAAACAGAAATAGTAGTTTTGGTAGGATATTCATTTTTATTACTGATATTCTGCCCCATAGTGTTAATTTCAATTTTGTCCAAATTTCCAGATCTCTTTTTACTTCAGTCCAGATTTTTTTTATAATTATCCTCAAATAGGTTTATATTTTTCATTGTGATCTCTATTCCCAAATATTTAACTTTTTTTTTACTATTTCTAAGCTAAATTTTCTTACTATTTCTGTTTTCTCCTGATTTCCCATATTCTTACCCATCATCTTTGTTTTCTCTTTATTAAGCTTAAATCCAGATACTTTACCAAAATTTGACATTTTCCCCAATATAATCTCAATACTTTCTGTTGGGTTCTCAACCATTAAAATGAGATCGTCTGCAAAGGCTCAAAGTTTGTATAATTTACTACCTAAGGAGATTCCTTTTATATTTTGATCCATTCTTATGTCTTGGTTAAGTGTCTCCAGCACTATTATAAATAGTAAATGAAATACAGGGTATTTGTCCAAGGCCAAACATTTGCAAGTCTCTTGCATTCCCAGTTAGATGTATCAGATTGCAGGGCACGCCTGAACCCAAGGCCCTCCAGCTCCCATCTGCCCCAGCCAGCATGGCCAACACAGTCAGAGAGGATGGGAGTTGCAGCCAGCTGGAGAGCTACAGGTTCCTCATCCCTGGAACAGACCGTTCTGGGCCAGATGGACAAACAGTCCTCTGCAGACGGGAGAGTGTTGTGTTGTGGTGGCCCTCAACATGACACACACTCCCCAGTCAGTGGAGTCACTGCTGCCTACCAGCAAGGAGAGGGGCGGTCCTGGGAAGGTCAGCATGGTGCAAACAGAGCGGCAGAACTACTGGCTGCATTCGCACCATGCTGACATGCCTGTTGCCTGTCAACTCCCCCTCATCTTCCCAGTAAGCAGCACTGACTCAACGTTTGGAGGGTCAGGCGAGTGCTGCCACCTCACCATGCCATCCGCTAGTGCAAATAGTCTGTGTGGCAGATTTCTGTGTTCCTATATCCTTCAATCTAGTCTCACACGGAGGGAATTAAACCTTTGATTTATTGAAAGAGGCCATTTTAGTTCTTATTCTACTATCCCTGACAACGTTCATTTCTATCTTACGCCGTCTAATTCATACATTTGATACTGTCACTGCCACATAATATATCTATCTATCTATCTATCTATCTATCTATCTTGTGGAACTGCCAAAACCTTCCAAAATTGGAAAATGGACCCTTTGCGCAGAACGTTATTGACATCATTTGAAGGAGGACTGAGACCAAGGTGTGTTTTGAAAGGAGGCAGGTCCCCATAACGTGAACGACTTTGCTTACTTTTGGGTATGTTTCTCTATGCCTTTTGCTCCTGCGTTAGACTGAATTGGCTTCTACTATTGCCTGCCTGCCTTAATTTTCTCCTGGTGGCCATGCCTTGCCTGGGCCTTGCTGCAATCAGATGGATACATTGGTGACATGGTGATGGCAGCTTGAAAAATGCATTCTCTATGCCTAGGAAAAACCTGTATAAATATTCTCAATAAATAAATAACAGTTGTCATTTCCCAAATATGACAGTCTCCGGTTGCCTGTGCTTAAATTGAACGACATGTCATTTACCCTAATAGATGGGAATGCATGTACGGCCTGTCTGAGTGAGTTACCTAATTCTTATTCACCTCAGCTGTGATCTCAGTCAGGGGGCTCCCGCTCTAGCAGGGTTTGGATGGATCAAATCGCAAGCAGAAAAATCTCGGTCAATTATAGAACCCTTAGGCTAAAAGGAAGGTGTCTTTCTTCTTTTTTCGTCTTTCTTTCCTTCTTTCTTAAACCTCACAAAACATTGAATGCTCCTCCTATTCCTAAGCTTACTGAAGAAGCAAATCAATCTCCCATCTGTGGAATTTCTGGGAATATCTCTTCCCCCTGTAATTTAGCATGTCTCAGTCCCCCCATCCTGATAATACAAGTGGTTGAGAATGGCTCCTAATCCTACCGGCATCCCCCCTTGTCAGCACCTCTTTATTTCACTGCTTTAAAGGCTCAACATGTTTTGATTTACAATAAGCACTAAGATAACTGCAGGTGCCCTCTAAAAGCAAGGTTAACTCACCTGAGATGAATTTCTTTTCTTCCCCACAAAGCAATACAAAAGCAGGAAATACAATTAATACAGGTGCTTCCCTGAAATGTAGGAAATGTCACTTACCCTTGATATGACACAAATCCTCATTAAATAAGCAGGCCCCAGTGCTTCGCTTTATATTTTCCTCTGTAGAGGAAAGGATTTAAGTTTTAAAAAACATACGAGAAGGGACGGAGAGCTCAATGATTAGAAAAGTCATTTGTATTATTTTTTCTCCCTTTCACAAGTCCCCAGTGAGATTATTTTGGTTTTATTCCAGTACTGGAGTCCATATGCAACGATTATTTCAAGAATGGACTTGAGGAGACTGTGGATCACAGATTCTACATAATAAACAAGATGTTAAATATATAGTAATTAACTGAATTCTGTCCGGATAAACTCCACCCCCCCAACTGAGTTTATTATATGCAAACTATAATGTCATGCATAAGTATACTAAGCTAAGAGCCCTATGTCTGCCGAGATGTTTGGTTCTTTACTGTCTGAGCATGGGCATAGCCAGGGGGAGGCACAGGGGGAAGCTGCCCCCCAATCAAGTAAATCACTAAAAATACTTAACTTTGAAGTTCTCCCCCCCAACATGAAGCCTGCCCCCTCCCTAAATCCTGGCTATGCCATGTGTCTGAGAAAGGAGGGCCTTCTCAGTGGTGGTGCCCCAACTTTGTGATGCTCTCCCCAGAACATTCATATATCATTTTGGCACCAAATAAATGTCATTCCCACCCCCACCCGCTTTGCTTTTTAACTTTTAAGAGGTTCCGGTTCCGGTCAAGATGGAGGAGACAAGGTGAATCTGGCTACTCCTTAACTGAAGGCAAGATTTACGCTCCTAATCTATTTCTTGGCCCCAGTTTATCTGCCTCCCCGTTCTACCTTTTAATGCTTTTTAAATTTTAACTGGTGACAACCAGGCTTAGGATTCGGACTCCTCCACCCAATTATGGAACCAGTGGAGGAACACTTCAGTCTCCCGGGACATTCCACTTTTTATGTAAAAGTTGAGCCTCCCGCAAAGGAATTTTAAAGGGAGACTCCAGCCTGAAACGATTGAATTGGAACTTATCGAGATGTTTCATTCTATACCTTTCAGGGTGGATGAGACAGATGGTTCCCTGTCCATTTACAGGTGCTAATTAGTTTAGCAGTCCTAAGATAGATGTGTTGTCATCAATTACTGATGTTGTGAATGGTCATTGTCCTTTTCTTCTTTTTTACCTTCCAACCTTAGTCATAATAGAGCCAATGAACTCATAGAGGTCTACTCTAAGACTAATGTTCGATATCATCTATACAATTTAATTGTTGCAGTCTCTACTTTTTGAATTTCACTACATTTGACTCCCCTGTTAACTTCCTCCCTTCTACATCTGTGTGTTTGCGTGTGTCTGCCTGACAATTGAGGATAGCACTACATCATGTATCTGAGAAAGGGGGCTCTAACCTATGAAATGCCGTAATAAATGTGCTCTGGAAATCTCCACCAAGCAGACATTTCTTGTAATCAGAAATGCAACCCAAGAAGCATTTACTATCTCATGTTTTGTTCTAAATTATCTTACCCAGAAAGAGACATCAGGGATCCTGGGCTGTGAAACCTGCATCTCAAGTTTGTATTTGATGATGACGACATTTATATCCTACCTTTTCTCCAAGGAACTCAAGGCAGTGCACATGGTTCTTGACATCTCTTGTCTTAACCTCACAACAACCCTATGAGGTAGAGTAGGCTGAAAATAGTGGTTGGCCCAAGGTCACCAGGTGAGCTTTATGGTGAAAATTTGAACCTTGCTTTCCCAGGTCCCAATCCACCGCTTTACACCACACTGCCTGCCATTCCAGAAGCCTGATCCCCAGGTATCACGCACTGAGCCTTCTTTTGCCCTTTTCTAGGGTGCAAGTGGGCAGCAAACTAGTTTCCCCTCCTCTTCCCGTGCTCGTGAGTGACAAGGAACCAAAGAGCTGAACGTGTGTGTATGTGGCCCCTCAAAGTCCCCTGAAGGCACCCAGGCTTCATCTAACAATCCTAAGCATATTTCACTTGGCTACATATTCCATTGAAACTGGGATTGTGGTATAAGAGGAGGAAGCACCAGGGCCATCATCTCATCCTGCTAAGAATAACCTGCTTCTGCAAGATGTACCGGGGCACAGCCTAACGTAATGAGAAACAGATCTTGGGATTCATAATTAAACTTTGGATTAGGCTTTAATTGCTTCCATCAGAACGGCAAGCAAGGAGGAATGCCAGAGCTCTCTTCTTTCAGGTGACAACATAATTTTCGTTGATGTGCAGCATATC